GGGGACAAGATAAGGACAATAGATATTAGATAGGAAAGAAGGAGCAGCAAACCACACCAGAGCATTCTCCAACCACCCACTGACCCTGGTTTAAGCACCACACAGTGTAGCAGAGAGCACTTCAAATTGTAAACCACAAATATTCTCCATAGATAATTGCAAAAAACAACAACAAATTTTTAAAAAATTAATAAATTGATAAAAATAGTCAGACGCACCCAGCGGGTGGTTGGCGGTTGCTCTGGTGTGGTTTGCTCTTTGTTTCCTAAAAATCAAACATCTAACGTACTCATCTCTCCTTCTTTTACTGTGTTCGTTACACTTTTGTAACGCCACTAATTCTGATCTTCGGCACTTATAGAATGATGACCATATTGTGTTACAAGTGCCGTAAAACTCTAACTAAATCGAAAAGACACACCCTTCTCTATGCAGGCACACCTGCCACAGATATGAAGGGGGTGTAACTTTGCCTTGAAGGGATCACGCAACTATAATAATAATAATAATGTGTAAGCTGCACCGTTCCAGAGAGCTATTATGAACATCATGATCATCATTATTGCCTTTCTCACCCTGCACTAGGGTATAGGCCACGAACAAACACTTTTCCACCTTTCCCTATCCTGGGCTAGCCTATTGATGTTATTCCATGTCTTCCCACGTTTCTGTACATCAATTTTTTTTCAGGTTCCACGCGGCCTCCCCCTTCATCTTTTACCCTGTGGTGTCATGAATATATGATGATGTGGAAATTTTAATGTTTTATACCACCAGAGACACGATTTAGACAGGCCCACATCTGTGGTGTAGTGGTTAGACTCTTCATCGTAGCACGCAGAAAACGCGAGTTTGATTCTCGTGCTGGATAGTTTTTATTGATTATCTCCGTTATCTTGATTATTCTGTCACACATTTATGGCCGTTTTGAGTTGCTAAGACCGTGAGGTTGGAAACCAAATGTTCTATCTGCTATATCAAAATCGTAAGATTATTCGCAGTCGTAATCAAGATGTTCAAAGAATTGCATTGAAGACAGACAGACAGACAGACCGACCGACC